CCAGCCAGCCAGCCAGCCAGCCAGCCAGCTTCTGAAGGCACAGCCCAGCGCAGGGTAAAAGACTGGGCACAGCGAGCGTGCTGAGCCCAGCCAGCAGATCCTGGCCTGCTAGCCACGGCGCGTGGTGTTGCAAAGTGGCTCACTGGTAGCAGCGCTCTGCTCTTGCCAGGCTGCTTCCTTTCACCTACGACCATCTCGTTCACGAAGCAAAGCTCCCTTTTGAACCGCAAAAGGAGCACTGCATCGACAAACACACACATCCGCACAACATGGTTGCCGACCCATCCCAGCAGGGCCAGTCCACCGGCGCTGCTTTCCAACCCCAGCAGCAACAGCAGCAGCAGCAGCAGCGTCAGTTCTTCGGCGGAGAGGAGGAGCTTGGCGATGAGGAGGAGCTCGGTGACGACGTAGACCTCGTCGTTGGCGACTACTCGTCCGGCGCGTTCGCCGGTGAGGCTGGCGCTGAGGTCGACGAGGCTCAGGCTGCCGCTCTTGCTGCCGCCAACGCCCAGGCTCAGCAGCAGGCTCAGGCCGCCGCTCTCGCCGCCGTGCCCGACCAGATCCGAAAGTACATTGTTCTCTTCAACCAGGCCGTCCAGAACAACAACGTGCAGGACATCAGCAACGCCTACGAGGGAACCTGGAACCGCCTCACCGACAAGTTCTACGCGCGCTCCGAGTGGCCCGAGGCCGAGACCATCGCGCCGCTCGTCAACGACGACCAGAAGTTCCTCACCCTCTACCGCGAGCTCTGGTACCGCCACGTCTACTCGCGCCTGAGCCCCGACGGCGAGGACCGCTTCCACTCCTATGACAACTACTGCGACTTTTTCAACTTTGTCCTCAACAGCGACGGACCCGTCCAGCTCGAGCTCCCCGCACAGTGGCTCTGGGACATCATTGACGAGTTCATCTACCAGTTCCAGAGCTTCTCCCAGTGGAGGAACCGCGCCTCCAACAAGACCGACGACGAGATCGCCCTGCTCCAGGACGGCGGCGTGTGGAGCAGCTACTCGGTGCTCAACGTGCTCTACTCGCTCATCCAGAAGTCGAGGATCACCGAGCAGCTCGTCGCCGCCAGCAAGGGCGAGGACCCGGATGAGGTGGCCGGCGAGTTCGGCTCCAAGCCCCTCTACCGCATGCTCGGCTACTTCTCCATCATCGGCCTGCTGCGCGTCCACGTGCTCCTCGGCGACTACACGCTGGCGCTCAAGATGCTCGACCACATCGAGCTCAACAAGAAGTCGGGCCTTATCAACCGCGTGACGGCGTGCCACGTGACCGCCTACTACTACGTCGGCTTTGCCTACCTCATGCTGCGCAGATACCCGGACTGCATCAAGAGCTTCACGCACATCCTCGTCTTCATCATGCGCTTGCGACAGTACCACACGCGCTCGTACCAGTACGACCAGATCAACAAGACCGCCGATCGCATGTACGCGCTCCTCACCATGGCGTGCGCGCTCAGCCCCACGCGCCTTGATGAGAACATCCAGACGCAGATGCGCGAAAAGTACGGCGACCAGTTCAACAAGATGACCAAGGGCGGCGCCGAGGGCGTGGCGGCGTTCGAGGAGCTCTTCCTCTACGCCTGTCCCAAGTTCATCACGGGCAACGCACCGCCCTACCACGACGAGGAGGCGCTGGCCGAGTACAAGGACAAGACGGTCTTCCCGGACCCGACGCAGCACCAGCTGCGCGTCTTCCTGTCCGACGTCAAGACGCAGCTGTCCAACGCCAACGTGCGTTCGTTCCTGCGCCTCTACACCACGCTCGGCACCGACAAGCTCGCGTCGTTCCTCGAGATCGACGAGGAGGAGCTGGTCGAGATGATGATGGTCATGAAGAACTCGACGCGCTCGCTCAAGTGGTCGAGCGGCTCGCTGCTCGAGGGCGAGGTGGTCAACACGTCGGATCTCGACTTTGTGATTGACACCAACATGGTGCACATTGCCGAGAGCCGTGTGGGTCGTAGGTACGGCGACTGGTTCCTGCGCAACGGCACGCGCATGCACGATGTGCTCGGCAACATCCAGTCCAAGCCTCTGCCCATTGTTTCCAAGGAGGTTCGCGACGAGGCAGCGGCGGCAGCGGCAGCGGCGGCAGCAGCCGGCGCCGAGGGTAAGGGCGACAGGAGGGGTCAGAAGTCCGGATGGGCTGGTGCAGCGGGCAAGCCCGGTGCCTTTGCAGGCAACCGCAACGCAGGCCGTGGCCCCGCACCCGCCGCAGGCGCACCCACAAAGCCCGCCGGCGCCTGGGGCGCTTCCAACCCAAAATCCTCCCTCGCCGCCTAATCCATTTCCCTTTCTATCATCCCATCCCACCCAAAATTGTAGAGCATGATGATTGGCTCGATTCCTCGCCCCTACATCTTTTCATCGGCTTGTAAATCTCATTCGTTGTATGTCACATGCTGAACGCGCGATGTCGGTCCCAGGAGGTCTCACTGTGGCGTGTGAAGAGAACCATTTACAGCAGTGTCACCAAGTTTGCCGCACATCAAGGAAAAGCAGAGTGGTGCGTGTCGGACACAGAGCCTGCTGCGCACACGGAGCCTCTGCATCAACCTCTGTGATGGTCACGCAAACTCTTGAAGGCTTTTTGAACCATCTAAGCACACTCGATCACACTGTTCACTGATCACACTCTGTGAGCGATGGCGCGGCATGGACGGGCAAGAGAGTGTGATTGTCCGGGGGAGAACGCCTTCAGATGCCGATGGCGCCGACAAAGATGACGGGACGGTGGTCGGATCGGCCCTCGAGCACGCGCATCTCGCGGTCGTCGAGCGCCTTGTACAGCAGACACTCGATGGTGCCTCGGCGTGGGCCCACGAGGCGGTCGGCGTCAGCGTCAGCCACCGTGTCGTCGGCAGCCGAGGCGGGCGTCGCATCGATGCTCGCCGTGCTCCCGTGGCGGTGTGAGCGGAGCGCCGAGAATGCGGGGGCGAGAAAGGCGGGCAGGTGCGACGAGAGGCTGTCCATCCACCCGCCGCGACTGGCGTCGGCCGAGGTGTCGGCGCCCGTGCCCATGTGCGTCGCCGAGGTCGAGCGCACAGGTGGCTGGATCGCGGCTGCGTGCACCACCGGCGACGAGGCCGCCGACGACGAGTGGCGCGGCGGGATGACGACGCGCGCCTGCACCTCGCCCGGCGCCAGTGCGGGCGAAGCGACGCGCTTCGGCACGCCACCAAAGCGCCGGTCGCGCTCCTCGACCTGGCTCGGCAGGTCGACCGAGCTGAGCGCCTTGTGCTCGAGCCCTGCCAACCCCAGGCCCGCGCCGAGCCCCAGCCCCAGACTCGCCGAGGTCGGCAGCAGCTCGGCGCTGCTGTTCTTGGCCGCCCAGCTCACGCCGGCGCCCGGCTCGTGCGCCAGCTCTGACAAGGTGAGACTGGGACTGAGCGCCTTGGCCTGATGTCGGCGTCGGCCTGGGTGCAGAAAGCGCTGCAGCAGGTGCGGAGGCCGCGTGCGCTCGACGCCTGCCAGCGTCCGCGTCTCGGCGC